TACTTTTATGTTGTACAAATGTGAGATTATTTTAAAGTTCCTTCATATTTTGTTAATTCTTTTAAGCTGGTCATTTTACATAATTTTATTTCAAGGGTATACTAAATCTGAATTACAGTATGGTCTTTTGCATCTTAATCTTATGGCGATGGTTGTGAGAGTGGAGAAGAGTGTGTTAAATATATTTTAATATGGCTGTTACATCATTTTGTTCTGTGTTTACATTTAGTACATTGTAATGATTGGTTCAAGATTCTGAAAATTGACAGGCTCATGGACTATTAACAAATAAAACAGATCAAAATGAAATTTGTAATTTAATTTAAAAAATTTAATCCAAATTTTATTGAATTGTTTTCACACAGGATATGATATTTATATACTCTTGTGTAACTTGATATAATCATTTGCGTACCATTATCCAATCAAATCAGTACCAAGGGTAAAGTGGCCATATCATGAAGCTGATCCTTCACTTTGATGCAGTGCCAAAGACAAGAATGTGTGTGATATTCCATGCATCCTAGATATGTCTACATAGCATTGAATGTGTAAACTTGCAATTTTTCCTGAATTAATGCCTGTGTGGATTTTGTTATGTACGAGGGTCGCTCATTAAGTAATGCCCCACATTTTTTTCCTCAGAACATATTTATTCAAGATGGCTCAAATTTAGTGACAATATAAATCAATGTTTCCTTTACACATACTATTTTTCCACATAGTCCCCATCAACTTGTACGGTTTTACGCCAGCGTGGAACAAGGGCATGCATGCCTTGCCGGTACCAGCTCTTGTCCTGTCCCCGTAGCCATGTCCTCACTGCTTGAATCACGCTCTCGTCATCTTCAAATCTTGTTCCGCGGATAGCATCTTTAAGGGGCCCAAAGAGATGGAAGTCGGAGGGTGCCAGATCTGGACTGTAGGGTGGATGGGGTAGCACCGTCCAACCCAATTTGGTGATTTCTTCCCGGGTTCTCAGACTTGTGTGAGGGCGTGCATTGTCGTGCAGGAGCAAAATTTCTGCTGGATGAGGTTTTATTTTTCAAAAGATGTAGCTGATAATTGCATTGTTTTGTGATAAATATATCTGTACATTACTGCAAATGGGCTCATTGACTGAAAGTCAAGTGCCATAAGAACTTAATCACAAACTACCTGAAATTTGCAGCTTTATAAACCTGTTTTATTGTATGAGAAGATATTTGGAGAACAATATGTGTATCTCTGAAGCTTCATTGTCTTTCCTGTAATATAATAGAAGCTCTCGTGAGTGAGATTGTCAGGCATCTGTTAGCACAGTCAAAGCATGCATTGAGCCATACATGTCATTGTGTCATCGAGTGATGGATACAGATGACAAGACTTCTTGGATGTTGCACTGTACAAACCTTGTATAAACTCACCAATGTTTCAGAGGTACTTACTGTATCGATCATCACAGCTTATTGATAAATTTCTAACCAGATTACATGGTGCAACATACTACATCGATCATCACAGCTTATTGATCAATTTATAACCAGATTACATGGTGCAACATACTAGAAGACAGTTGGCATGAGAACCTGAAATCTCACCAAGTGATAGATGCAGTTTTTTTTGGAATTCCATGTTGTGCCTATGAAACCAGATACACACAACCTGCTGCACTTCAGTACCTGGTTGAAATTCTCATCCCTTGACTGCGTTCTTCAGCGGCCCAAATATGTGAAAATCCCTGGTGACTGCTGAAGATGGTAACCATTACTTTGAAAACAGATGTTTTGGCATATAACTTTTCATCTTGGAGGACTGGATGCTGAATTTTTCTGACTGACTCATATTGGTGATGCCAAGTGTTGTCATCAATAGCCCAGCAGGCAAGTTCCAATTGAACCTTGATCTCTGGTAATTGCACTTGGTAATGTTTCTGTTAAATATTTCTTGTGGAATAAGACTTACTCATTCACTAAACTGATTCTTTTTATCAAGTATATGAACAGAAAGAAGTTATAGGTTTGGTGGAGAAAGGATATATCTTCCTCCCTCTTTTTGTTATTATTTGATTTATCAAACTGAAGGAAATTTTGATAAAAAAAATTATGCAAATTCACCTGAGATTGCAATAGGAGAAGTTGGCATTTCAAATGGTGAATTAGATTTTCATTAGGTCAGATTAGTAGTATTTTATTAGCATTTTAACATTTTCAGAGATTGTTCAATGAAAGGTATGTTAATGTAAATTGATGCTAGGGACAAACTGAATTGGGTTGACTAGAGCATTGCTGTCCCAAATTTTAAGAATGGTAAATGAGTTTGCAAATAAGGTGTGCCAAGAATTCTAATTCAAGAATAAAATATTGACCTCATCTGGATTATGCTGACCACATCATTGCAGAAGATGATCTAGACTTTCTCCAAAAGATCATCATAGGTGACTAAACCTGCCGCAAAGTTCTGTTGCGATTGCTGAAAATGCAAGGTCATCATGGAAGCCATATTTGATTAGCTGAGCATTACCCATGAGTTTATTTGTGACAGTGCTACAGTTAAGACGGTAAGGTACGAGAAGTGCTTGCCTCTGGGATGCCGTTCTGAAGGTATGGGAAGCCAAAGAATGAGTGTTCCTCAGCAATTCCCTGGTAAGCTAGTTAGTTGCTATGCAGCATCCACTCACCAAGTGTGTTCCCTCCCACTGTATTGTCCCGATCTTACACTGATCAATTTTTACCTCTTTCTGCAGATGAAGGATTGGCCGAAGAGCTGTCACTTAAGGATTCTCCAGATATTCAAGGGCTTTAAAAATGTGATGTAAGAGTTCATGCATGGCAACTTCCAGAAATATTTTGAACAGTACAAATGCTGCCACAAGTCAACTGCTGAAGGACAGTATTTTGAAGGCAGCTGCATCCAAAGGCTTCTTAGTCCTGCTGGATTGAAAATCCGGTTCCTGTCCTGGAACTTCTTTAAGCTACCACATGATATGGTTCTTCACAGTTACTACTCTCCATCTTATTATGGTTATTAAATGAAGAAGGGTGAGATATGATAAACAAATATGCCTATCCCTACATCTACGGACATAATTTGTTGTTGAAAATGAAATTCCCATTAATTTCAGTGTAGCTGGTTCCAGACTCCAAGAAAAGTTCCACATATCAGAGTACTATACAATCATAAAAATATTTGCATTGTACAGAAGTTATTGCAGTTACAGTTCGTAAACACAGAATAAAACGCTTTGTCCTTGGATGATGAAGGTTGGTTCTTCACTAAAGTTAAAATTCATAAATTGAAGAATACAGGTCATGAATATAAAATTTTGGTTAGGAAACCTCAAGGAAGTCACTTGGAAGATCTAGGTGCAGACTGAAAATAGTATTAAATCATTAGGTGATGTGATTTCATAACTAGTTCAATAAAGGTGGCACCTGTATTGTAGGGAGAGACTGAAGGAATGTAATGATGTAACTTGCATGCCAGAAGTCCATTATGCTATGGAATACACTGCACAGAAATGGTTTACTAAATGAAACATCTTTATTTTATTGGCAATTGTTCAGTCTGATTTTATTACAAAAATGTATAGATCAATTTCAGCCAAACATGATATTAAAAAAACTTGCATCCAGAAATAAACACTGCTCAGGGAAATTAATGGTAATCCAGCAGTATGTCACATGACATGTAAAACGTAATGCATCAGTGGTAAAAACAATGTTTGAAAGAATATGTACATAAGTCATCATGCGTCACAATAGCAGACTGCTACCATTAAATTCCACGAACTGGCCGCCCCATAGTATGGGAATTTTAATCTCATATTTCTGTATGATGATGGTTGAACACCACAAACTTCTGCAGTAGTAAATACTTGGACTTGTAATTCTGCAAATTACAGATCTTCAGTAAAATAAAAAAAAATCAGTTCATTTATTTCTTGTAGGCCACATTAAATGTTATGAGCAACATAAAATTTTAGGCAGACTGTACACAAGTTTTATAACATTACACACATACAAAGAAACCTTTCTAAGTATCAACATTCTGGTTAGAGTATATTCAAGTTGAGAATGATTGGATACACTTCTTAGTTACAGATACACTCGTGGCAAGCCAGTCAAGATATTGCTAGGGAGGATAAGTGATGGCATAAAAGGCATCTTCCCTTCCCTTGTGATGTAGCTCAGGATTGCAAGTATTTTGTGTCCAGTG